GTATTCCTTTCAATATGTTCTTTATTTGTGTTGTCATTCTTTATTTCAGACTGTTCTTTTTTTAGAGTTACTATATCTTTTTTATGCTGTTGAGCATTTTTAACATCATTATTCTGAACTCTATTTCAGATAAATTTCTGACCTCTGCTTCATTTATATATTCTTCTGGAGAATTCTCTGGTCCTTTCATTTGGGGGTTGTTTCTTTGTCTCCTCATTTTGGTTGTTTGGGTTAGTGACTATGTATTAGGTAGATCCTCTACACTTCTCAGTCTCTGGTGCAGGACAGTGTTAAAAGCTGTTTCTGACTAATTGGATCAGGCAAAGACTCAAAGCCTCCAAAGGCTGCCTCTGTCTACAGCAGTGGTTCTCAACCTTTCTAATGCCACGCCCCTTTAATACAGTTTCTCATGTGGTGGTGACCCACCCCCAACTATAAAATTATTTTCATTGCTACTTTATAATTAAATTTTGCTAGTGTTAATGAATCATAATGTAAATATCTGTGTTTTCCGATGATCTTAGGCTCTACGGCAGTGGTTCTCAACCTGTGGGTTGCAACAGGTTACAATTACCATTCATTAACAGAAGCAAAATTACAGTTATGAAATAGCAAGGAAAATAATTTTATGGTTGGGGGTCACCACAACATGAGGAACTGTATTAAAGGGTTGCAGCATTAGAAAGGTTGAGAACCACTGGTCTACAGACTAATAAGACTTGAATTGCCGCTGAAACCGGTTTGGCTCAGTGGTAGAGCGTCGATCTGCGGACTAAAAGGTCCAGGGTTCGATTCCAATCAAGAGCATGTACGTTGTTTGCGGGCACATCCCCGGTGGGGGGTGTGCAGGAGGCGGCTGGTCGATGTTTCTCTCTCGTGATGTTTCTGGCTCTCTATCTCTCTCCCTTCCTCTCTGTAAAAAATCAATACAACATATTAAAAAAAAAAAAAAAAAAAAAAAAAGACTTGAATTGCCTCCAAGCAATCGTCCTCAGGTTTGATGAGAGTTTTTTCAACAGGGTGGGCAGTTGCTTCTGCCTTGAGGTTAATTGTTAGTTTTAATCTCTTAAGTGGGCTCAGGGCTGGGTGTTTTCCAATACTATGTATTGACTGTCTTCCCCCCAGGCAAGGCAGATGTCTATGTGGGAAAGATGTTCTCTGCTGTGTGAGGGAATGACTCAGCCCAGGAAACTTGGGGTGTCTGCCTTCTGAGCTCTATCCCCCGACTACCCAGTCCTGGGTTCTGCTCTCACAGCTCAAGTCCACTTCACCCTCTCTCTGCCAGAGCATAAGGTGGGTGGCTCCACAGGGAACTTTTGTTGGTTAGCCCTTTAAGAATATGCCCAAACTTTTAGCTGCCACTCCCTGGCAGACAGCACCCCACTGCTTTTCATAGCTAGATGTTTTGTGGGTACCCTCCTCAGTTTGGTGCTCTCTCACCCTCAGAATTAGATCTCAGAGTTTTCAGTGGCTCTCCTCCACAGCTGAGATATCTCTCCGGGACTTCAGTTGCCATCTGTGGGTGCCCGGTCATCCCCTTCTTGCCTCTGCCCCTCCTACCACTCTCTATTCGGTCTCCACCTCTGTCCTTTGGGTAACAGGGTTCTCTCCTGTGAGTTTTCCATTGATTATTCAGGAAGCATTTCCGTATTTCAGTTGTAATTCCAGCTTCCTCCTGGGAGCATGTCCGTGCCGCATCCTTCTACTCTGCTGCCATTTTTAATCTCTCCCGACTAATTTCTGACCATCGCCGCACCCATAGGTCCCATAGCTCCGCATCCTTCTCGCGGGGCTGAAGGGGGCCTGACTCGCTGTTCTGAACTCTTTTAAGAGGCAATTTGGAAGAGTAGTTTTGAGCAGAACCCTAGAACTTACTACTAGTTGTACTCGTTAACAATGGCAGATTTTATAATCAAAGAAAGCATGATAATTTCAAGAGAAACATCAAAAGTGCTTTATTCAAAGTAATGTCCATCGCTAGCTACACATTTCCCCCATCTTTCAGGTAATTTGTGGATAGTGTCCCAATAGAACTTGTCTTGTTTTGAGGCAAACCATTCAGAGAGCCAATTTTCTACTTCTTCGTATGTTTTGAAGTGCTGCTCAGAAAGTGCATGCGCCATCTATCTGAACAAGTGGTAATCTGAAGGAGCAAGGTCTGGTGAATATGGCGGGTGGGTTAATACTTCCCAGGCAAGGTCTTTTAACGTGTCTTTAACTGGTGTGTGATGGTGCATCATCATGAAGCAAAATTACTTTGCCGTGTCTTCTGGCACATTCTGGTTGCTTCACGATCTAAGTGTGGTTCACCTTCATTATTTCTTGTCGGTAGCAATCAGTATTAACAGTTTCACCTGGTTTCAGAACCTCATCCATACACCACACCTTCCTGATCCCACCAATCGCAGAGCACTGTCTTCTTTCCGAAGCGATTTGGCCTTGCAGTCGATGTTGATGGTTGACCTGGATCAACCCATGATTTTGTGCATTTGGGATTCTAAAAATAAATCCACTTTTAATCGCCGGTCACAATTTGATGACAAAAAGACTCTCTTTCGTGCCATTGAAGCAACATTTTGCTGATGACTTTATGGTTTTCATTTGTCTTTCATTCACTTGATGGTGGCACCTATTTTCCTTCCTTTAAAACCTTTTCCATTGCTTGTAAACAATTGGAAATTGTTTGCTGAGCAACATTTAATCTTTCTGCAAGTTGTTTTTGAGTTTGACACGTATCTTCATCCAATAATGCTTGTAATTGTTGGTCTTCAAACTTTTTTGGTTGACCTGGATGTTCTTTGTCTTTCACACAAAATCATCACTTTTAAAGGGTTTAAATCAGTGTTCACAAGTATCTTAAGATGGAGCATGTTCACCATGAGCTTCACGAAGTATATGATAACTTTTTCTTCAAAATAATGAATTAAAACTTCCCATAATTGCTCTTTTATGGCACGAAATTCAATATTTTTAAGTGTAAAAATATCTATGATGTTAATACCTTCAGCAGATTTGACATTTTGAAGTTTGCTGTCAATACAACAAAATAGCATACATATCAAATCGCATATATATCAACATATGTGTAACTCTATCTATTGAAAAAATTCGCATTATTAACTAGTACATCTGGTATGTTCTAGATCAGTGATTTTTCAACCAGTGTGCCACAAGAATTTGACAATAGCCAACACAACAATAGCCTTCTGGTGTAAATACCCTGTCTTGAACCTTAATTATGTAGGTCATATATAATAAAGTTGCATCTTTTGGTCACATTATGTAATAAGGTTGCTTCTGATTGATTAATTCTTGGTACCAGAAATCCTTATATGCAAATATAGGCACCTGATTTTTTAAAGTCACTTTGGAGCAAAAAGAGTAGGTAATAACTATTATTATATTTTTGTAAATCAGTCTAAGTTATACCTATTTTCTTGTTAGATGGGCAAAAAAATACAATATATTTTTTAGTGTGCCACAGAATGTTAGTAATTAGTTTATGTGTGCCAAGATATGAATAAGGTTGAAAATTGCTGTTCTAGATAAACTTCTAGTAAGGTCTGTGGTTTTGTATGTTGGTTTCTCAGCTTTTGTTTTTGTAATGTTTGTTATCAGATTATACATTGTTAGTCCTTCTCAGATAATGTGTTTCAGAATTACTAAACATCTTTTGATTAATTGATCAAAGGATGTGTATTTTTTTTCTCTGATTGCCAGTAAACCCCCAAATTCCTATTAACCCACTAGAACTCTGGGATTGTAGAATGAGAAACAGCAGCTTTATTTATAGTGCAGTTAAAATACATGTGAGGAAATAAGGCTCATTTGTGTACCCAGCTGAGCTCGGGTCATCAGCCATCTTGGAGGAGGTATCAGTGCCCCAGGTCATCTGTACGTAGCAGTCATGCCAGTGACAGTGTCAGTACATCTTTTGTAGGAAGTAGGAGGAAAAGAGATCTGACTTCCTTCTTACTGTCATTATTACATCCTGTTTGTGGTAATTATGATCCTGCTGACAGAATAGAGATGTGAGCACTTCTAAGTATAACCCCACTGGTCCTGCCATGCCATCCAGCTCTGTGGAAACATCTAGACATCATGAGGAAAATGGATCAGAAAGGCATGCTTTTGCCACAAGTCAGTTTCTCTGTTCTTTTAAGATCCTCTCCCTCTGTCACACCTAATCCCCTTTCATGAAGGACTAGAAGTGGGGTGGAGGCCAGAGCCTGGGATGTGGAGTGCCTTTTTGATCTCCTTTCCTCTTCAGAGGGGCACCTCCCTGATGCTTCCTGGTAACAGTCTGGCACGGCGCTCCAGTGTTAGTAACTTGGCTGTAGTGCTCACAGGTTTTTCATAACCATCTAGATTAGAGTGAGTTCTTTCAGTAGCCATCTGCACATACTTCTTATGGTAAAGTTAGCTGGATAACAGGCACAGTGGAGTGGGGAGTTTACTCAGACTTGTGGAAAAGATAAAATATAATCTGTCAAATATCTCTTTGGATATGAAGACTAGAACTCTGTGTTCTTGGCCCTGCTCCAGTTTTTACACTACTAAATATTGAGCATTAGATAAAAAGCAACCTTAAAGAAATAATTAATTAAAAAGTTTTGGAAATTCTCCGATAAGGTCCCCAAACTACCAGTCTGTCTGTCATCTAACAAAACAGATGTTTTCTCCTGTGACTGTTTTGCTCATATACTTTCATTTACTTATTTAAAGTTTTTATTCCATTGTCATGTAAAAAGACTTTTAATGTATTTACTAATGAAAAAAATTTCAAGCAGTGCCCACATAGTAATCAGTGACATCTGGTTATTACATGGTACTTTGTCCTGATGGAATGCTGGCTGTGCGGCACAAAGCCACAAATGGAAATGTCTTTATCTTTGTCTTTTTGTTTCCTTTTTGGTAATCTTTTTTTCTTATTATTCATCTTTTTGGTAATGTTTTTAAAGAAGGAAGAAAAACTGTTAATTCTTCTCCATACCCTGCAGATATCTGGTGATTTCAGAAAAACTTGAAGAGATTAAGTCTTTCCGGGAGTTGACCTGCCTGGATCTTTCCTGTTGCAAGCTTGGAGATGAACATGAACTCCTAGAACATCTCACCAATGAGGCCCTATCTAGGTATTACCACCATTTGCAGATTAATTGTTTTTGTTTGTTTTTTTAAAGGATGATCCAATAGGATCATCTTTAAGAATACGGATTACCTCCCAAGTCTATGTTTATTTGCTAAGTTTTTTCATAAACTTTTTCAATTTCCATTTTCTTGATAGGAGCAATATATGTAACTCTTATGAAAGTAAGTCAGTTATTTCATTTTTCTAAATAACCTTTACTTCAACATGTAGCACTTGAAGCTACCTGGGCTGAAAAATTATTTTCCCCTTTATTTATCTACTCCTAGTTTAATCTAGCCAGAGATGAGAAGTCATACGATTTTCCAAAGTCATCATTTTCTATTTTAACTATCACTGAATTATAAATTACTTAAAAAGTCAACTATTAAAGACAGCTTAATACATCTTTGTCAAGAACCATAATTTAAAGAAATCACCCAGTTTATACCATTCACAAATAATTAGATTGATCTCAGTCTGGCCGGCAGAGAGGAGGCCTAATGAATTTCTTTCTGGTTTCATAAACACCCAAAGGGATAGCAGCTTTCAAACCTGAATCTGACCCACTTCCTGGGGCCTTCCTAGGACAGACACCTACACACTGCTCTGTGCAAAGGTATTTTTGTGTGAGTTAGAAAAAGTTCAGGTTCCCTGTTGTGTGTGGGACACTGAAGCACATTAATACGCCAGTGTCAGGTTAGCTGAATGGACTGGGTTATAGGTATGCCTTAAAACTCAATCTGAAAATCTGGATTTATAAAGCTAGTTAAACTTAGAGATTGTTTGTTTTGCCAAAAGAATTCTCGAAGTTCTTCAGCAGACTTTCCTGACACACTTAGAGTGTTTTTGGTGTCCCACAGCATTTGTCAGGAATGCAGCTTTCGTGTTTAATAAGTATATATTTATCTCCCTAATGAAGTCCATTTATCTCATTCCACCATATACCTCTAATGCCTTTTGCCATCTGAGATTAATGCTACATGACACTGATCCCTAAGTTAACCCTCACTTAGTAACTAAAATAGCACCAAAAGACCTTTAGCTTTGTTGAATGCACTGATTGTGAAATAGCAAGGGTTAGAGGATATTTAATATTTTTAAATGAACTTTTATGAAAGTGTGTTACATACCTAGACTTTCTCAAACTCTCTTTAAATAATTTATTTGTGGGCTTTGTTTTCCTAGTGTAACTCAACTCCACTTGAAGGATAATTGTTTATCTGATGCCGGGGTACGGAAAATGACAGCACCAGTTCGAGTGATGAAAAGAGGCCTTGAAAATCTAACATTATTAGACTTATCTTGTAAGTTTTATTAGAAATTATAGATTATTAATATTGGAAGAATGGCCTTAGAAATCATCTAATTCTTCCCTTCATTTTAGAAGTGACAAATTGAGGGGACTTTGCTAGGTGCCACATCAAGTTATTGACAGAGCAGGACTAAAGCCAGAGGCTCTTGACTTTTGGCTACATACCTCTCTTGGTCTGTTGGCACCTCTTTACAGTAGGAAAAGCTCTTATAAACTCATCCGTGCCACTTACTGTGTGCAGACAGGTCAGCCTTTCATCATATTTCTAGCATCTATTTGGTTTATCTTTATTTTTTTTGAGTTGCTAACTCATAGTGCTTGTCATCTAGGTCCTTTTTTTTTTGTTAATCCTCACTTGAGGACATTTTTTCCACTTATTTTTAGAGAGAGTGAAAGGAAGGAAGGGAGGGAGAGAGAGAAAAAAAAACATTGACATGAGAGAGACACATCGATTGGCTGCCTCCCACCCCACATGTGCCCCTAGCCTGCATTCAAGGTGTATCCCCTGGACCTTTCAGTCTGTAGGCTGACACTCTTAACTACTGAGCAAAACCAGCCAGGGAAAGGATTTTTTTTGAAAAATCTGTATTTGCTTGATGAAAATCTGAATGAATCCACTATTGTGATAACTTACTCAGGGTTATCCAGATACTGATGCCAATGGTAGAAACTCGATAGGAATCATTTACAATTTAACTGAGCATCCTTTGAATGTATGGCAGGATAGTATGGTATCAGAAAAACAGAAGGAGCAGGGTTTGAGGTCAGAGGACACTCCTTGCTCTGCTACTCTTAGCAGCTGTGTGCCCGTGGGCAAGTTATTTAACCTCTCTGAGTCTTGGTTTTGACTTCTGTAAAATGAAGATAATAATGAATGTCCTGTCTTCCTCCCAGGAAAGTGTGTTCATTCAACAAATACTTTTTGAGCATCTTCAATGTGCTAGGAATTGTGCTTATGGCCTAGAGGGCTCAGTGCTAAATGTAGGACTCTTTGATGTGAGAAGTAATATGTAAGAAAGACTTCAAAAAAAAAAGCAAATTAGTAAGAGTAATAATAGTCTCTGTGTCAGAGTGCTTTTAAAAGCCTTTTTAAAACAAATCTTTTTACTTTGGAAGTGAAATAGCTATGAACAAAGTATGATGAGCCATTTTAATGCATGTTTATGTATATTGTTTTCATATTGTTGTAAATTAAACCCTTTGGGATAATTACCTGGTTCATTTTTTCCCCCTGCTAAAAGTTAGAGCTATAAAGGATCTTAAGATCATCTTGTGTGTGACTCCTTCATATTACAGATAGAATAAAGATAAGATCCCTATATTTTATTTACTCTGAAAGTTTGTTCACTATTTTATATTGTTTCACTGTGTGGCCTTTTTTCTGACCTTACTGTTGGCATTTTGGCAATAAACTGTAACTGAATCTACCTGTTTTTGACATCTAGGTAACCCTGAGATCACAGATGCAGGAATTGGATATCTCTTTTCTTTTAGAAAACTAAATTGTTTAGATATCTCTGGGACAGGGCTCAAGGTAGGACTTTTACTTCCTTCTCTTATTTTTTCACACTCACAATTTGATATTTTGTTCCTGTTAATTGTAGTTTAGAAAAAGCTGGTATTTATGATGGTGCTTCTTTCCTACTGAAAACTACTACTAATTGACCAGATGTGTGGGCTTCCTGTTCTGTCTTTCCCTCACTAGGACGTCAAAGCTGTCAAACACAAGCTCCAGACCCACATAGGCCTTGTCCACTCCAAAGTGCCTCTGAAGGAATTTGATCATAGTAACTGCAAGACCGAGGGCTGGGCTGACCAGGTACTGTATATCCACCACTACCAACCCCCCCTCCTCCCCATCGACACACACAGTTAATAATGACTTTTTAATTTTAATTCTAAGTGTCTTATTCAGCACTTTGAACAAACATTAATCCTTTGGTATTTCTTGGCTGAATTGTCATCTTTATGTCAAATTGGAGATACCGATGGCCTGTAACTGACCCAGCTACTTAAGGAAAGGTGTTAGATGCTAGTCCTTAAATCTCATGCTCTGGTCACTAGATTGTGCCTTATCCTTATTGGATCTAGGAGAAAATGTCATCTTTTAAAGATTCTGAAAATAAGTGAATTCTGCCCTGCTGATGAAAAAAACAGTATGACCCCACTTCAGAAGGACATACTCTCTTAGCAGTCTAGAAAGAAAGAAAGTCACACTAAGAACGATTCGAACTTGGCTCTTCCTCTTTCGGGCACTTTTCTTACATCTCAGAGCCTTAGTGAGGAACAGACTTTTTGTCCTCCTCTCACTGAGGGTTCCCATTTTTATCTTCTTGGGTGAACTTACTTTGACTCAGCCTTGTCTTCTTAATGGTCTCCCTCAACTTGGTCAAGTACAGGCTTAAGTAGGAAGTATACAGCACCAGTAGATGCCAGCCTACCTGTGGCTGGTGCCTTTCTCCTTCACACACTTTATTTATTTATTTATTTATTTATTTATTTATTTATTTATTTATTTATTTATAATATATTTTATTGATTTTTTTACCGAAAGGAAGAAAGAGGAATAGAGAGTTAGAAACATCAATGAGAGAGAATCATCGGTCAGCTGCCTTTTGCACACTCCCTACTGGGGATGGGCCCGCAAACAAGGTATATGCCCTTGGCCGGAATTGAACCCGGGACCTTTCAGTCCGCAGGCTGACGTTCTATCCACTGAGCCAAATCGGTTTCGGCATCTCCTTCAAACACTTTAAACCAATGTTTCTTGGTGGAGGCCTGGATGGCTCCCCAAACTGTTTTGTTCTGCATTCCTCCTTCACTCAAACTGTAACGCATAATGGTGGACTTCTCCCAACTGTCTGATCGAAGTATCACCTTCCAATAGGTGAACAGGGAGGGGGTGCTGGTGAGTCAGTGTTTCAGAAGCATTTTGAAGTTGGTCCAGAAAATGCATGCTGAACTAATTATCATAGTGCAGTGTCAAGCACAGTTTGTAGCACTGGATTAATCTTAGACATAGCCAGTAGTGGACTTGGGGCAGGTAGATGTGGGATGGTCATATAAAAGCTTGATGTAGTTTGGTAGCAGGTTGTCATGGTGAAAAGAGCATAGGCTATGGAATCAAAGATACCTGGATTTGGGGTCCTGGCTTGACAAGTCAGTAGCTATATGATTTAAGGCAACTTTGAGTCTCTGTTACTTCATCTGTAAAATGCAAAAACCTGGACCTCTCTTGCAAAGGTTGGTAAGAGTGAAGTAAAATACCTACCGTACCAGTCTGGCCTGGAAGTAAGCAAATTGGACTCTGTAGCTTCATGCCATACAACCTCAGCCTGGCCCCTACGGTGTGGTTGCAAAGATTTATCTGTCTCTTGCTGATCCCTTATTAAAACTGTTTCAGGCTGACTCTGGGCTGCTCCTGCTTCATTCTCAGCAGGTGACACGGAAAAAATGAGGCTACCTACCAGGAGTCCCCTTACATTTCTGTCTTAAATTTTCTCCATTTCTTCAACCATATTCTACTTTCCTCCTCTGTAAGGGGAGTAAGGATGTCACTTTATTCCATTGATAAGCCTTGAGTTTTTCCTTTTTATCTTTCAGTTCTGTTCTCTACGATCACCAGCTTCCTCTGTGACATTTTACTAGTAATTATTTCCCTCTACTGCTCACCACTGCATCTTCAGTCTCATCCTGTGCTGGCCGCTTTCCTTGTGTATAAACGTACTTGTGCTACTCTTACTCTAATGTGTTCCTCATCCTCCAACAGAACTGAGAATTGTTTTCTGTTTCCATCCCACTTCCTCACCGTCTCCTCAGTTCTTCATCCTTCGTGGTCTGGGTCTGGCCTCCATCCTCTGCGGCAGGTGTTCTCTTAAAGGTAGCATGTGGTCTCATTTTCACCTGCCTTAGCTTTTCTGCAGCTTTGACACAAACATGCCTGCCTTATGCTTTTTCCTCTTGGCCTTTCTCCTGGCTCTCCCCTCACTTTTTAATTTCTGCCTCTAGCTCTTGCTGATTCCTCTTCTCTTCTCCGATACCTCCACTCACTTCCTGGTGATCATAACTGTCCCTTCTTTTCACTTGACCCATTCCTAAATATCATCCATAAATCTCTACCTAGCACCTCAAATTCAGCTTGTCCAGAACCTGACTCATTTTCTTCTTCCCTATCCTCAAGCTCTTTTTATTGACATGCTTCTTTCTTAGCAGAAGTGCTGCTTTCCCAGTTGCCTACTGAGTCACCAGGCTCAGCCCATCCATCTTGGCATTCTCTTAGATCTGTCCACATTTCCCATAATCAGGAAAGAATCATAGAAGAGTTGACAACTGATATTTACTGAGTGCTTTTTGTGTGTCAGACCCTTCATGTATGTTATCTCATTTGACAGATGAAGAAATTGAGATCAGAAATTAAATCACTTGCCAAGGGTCCCCTAGCTAAAAAGTAGTAGTGCTGACTCTGGAATTGTATTTTTTTTAAAAATATATTTTATTGATTTTTTAGAGAGAAAGAGAGAGGGATAGAAAGTTAGAAACATCGATGAAAGAGAATCATCGATCAGCTGCCTCTTGCACACCCACTGCTGGGGATATGCCCGCAACCAAGGTACATGCCCTTGACTGGAATCAAACCTGGGACCTTTCAGTCCACAGGCCGATGCTCTATCCACTGAGCCAAACTGGTTTTGGCTGGAATTGTATTTTTTTTAAAAAACTGACTTTAAAAAAAATATATATATATTTTATTGATTTTTTACAGAGAGGAAGGGAGAGAGATAGAGAGCTAGAAACGTCGATAAGAGAGAAACATCGACCAGCTGCCTCTTGCACACCCCCTACCGGGGATGTGCTCGCAACCAATGTACATACCCTAGACCGGAATCAAACCTGAGACCTTTCAGTCTGCAGACCGATTTCGGCTGGAAATGTATTCTTAAACTGCGTCATTCTGCCTCTGTGATCTGAAAATGTTTTTCTTTTTGGTCATTTCATTGCATTCCATGAAAAGTATTAAATTTAGTTCTTGTTACTTACTCATGGTATATGTGAAATAATCTTCATATATATATATATATATATAGTTTATACTTGGCCAGATTTCCAGAAGAATTTGTAGTAGCTTATAATAAAAATACATTTGTAATAGCGGTTTTAAAAATGGCAGTTGAGCCAAAACTTGTTTGGCTCAGTGGATAGAGCGTCGGCCTGCGGACTGAAAGGTCCCAGGTTCGATTCCTGTCAAGGGCATATATCTTGGTTGTGGGCACATCCCCAGTGGGGAGTATGCAGGAGACAGCTGGTCAATGTTTCTCTCTCATTGATGTTTCTAACTCTCTATCCCTATCCCTTCCTCTCTATAAAAAATCAATAAAAATATATTTTAAAAAATGGCAGCTAATTGTGAAGTGTCTTGAAAATATGGAAATGTGGGCATTTATACACATATAAGAGTTTTGAGTTATATTGATGTATTTTAAGGCATTAGGGTGAGAGTAGGGATGTGTGAATAGTAATGACTAAGGTTTCAAATTTTAGTATTTAGTTTAAGGGTATGCAGTTTATTTCTAGCTTGGAATAGAGATGAAAAAAGGGAGTGAACATTGTGGATTTTTCCTGAGTCATGCAAATACACATATCTAACAGGTTTGTATTTTGACTGGCTCTTGCATTAAAACAGAAAATCCAGCCGAAACCGGTTTGGCTCAGTGGTAGAGCATCGGTCTGCGGACTGAAAGGTCCCGGGTTCGATTCCGGTCAAGGGCATGTACATTGGTTGCGGGCACATCCCTGGTGGAGGGTGTGCAAGAGGCAGCTGGTCGATGTTTCTTTCTCATCGACGTTTCTAGCTCCACTCTGTAAAAAATCAATTAAAAAAAAAAACACACCAGAAAATCCAAGCTTGACTTGATTTTTATTCTTATCACCGATCATCTGAAGTAAGATTTCTGCAGCAGTTTGTGTTTATGGAAAGGGAACAGAGGGGAACAAGGAAGGTTTGATATTAAAAGCTTGAGATTTTGTTCAGATTCAAATCTTTCCAAATACATTTTAGATTGTTCTGCAGTGGGACCGTGTGACTTCGGAAGCTGTGAAGCCCCGAGATGCTTTGGAACCTCGAAAGGCAGCTCAGCACTTCTGTGAGAGATTCTTTTTTCTGTGGGATTCCCTTTTAGCCCTTAGGATTTTTGCACCCTTAAAGCAGTTAACTTGCTTTCGCACAGAGGGAAAATTAACTGTGATAGTTCCAACTGAATTAGATCACCAAGACTTGTTCTCAAATAGTTTAGAGCAGCCGTCACCAACCACCAGGGTGGTTCCTGGATCTGAAAGGCTGGCCACCGCGGGTTTAGAGTAGTACACTTTGAATGCCAGTACAAGAAAAATAGCTTATTAAGTGTACATATTTATATCCAGTCTTGTTTCAAAAATGATTTGTAGTAGATAGATTACAGAGATCCAGAAGGAATTAAGTGTAGCCAAACGGAAGAAGCAACTCAAGTGTTCATCAGTAGGTTAATGGATAAACAAAATGTATTATTTACATACAGTGGAATATTATAATAAGTCTTAAAAGAGAAGGAAATTTTAACACATGCTATAATGTGGATGAAGCTTGAAGACATTATGGTAAGTGAAATAAACCAATCAGAAAAAGACAAATATTGTGTGATTCTTCCTATAAGAGGCTTTTAGAATAGTCAAGTTCATAGAGACAGAGTGGAAGAGTGGTTGTCAGGGACTGGGGAGGGGTCCTCATTTTTAATAGTAATAGCTAATATTTTTTAGCTTTTACTGTGTGCCAAGCATCGTACTGAGCACTCTGTGTACATTATTTCATTTATCTTTATATCACCCTTATGAAATAGGTTTTCTATCCCTATAAAGATGAGAAAATTGAATCTCAAGTCATTTGCCCAACGTCTCTTATCCAGGAAGTGGCAGTGTACATGCCTTCACCCTGTGCTAGTGCATATGCCACTGTTACTTTATAGGGCACTCAAAAGGGAATAACAATTATCCAAACATCTCCCTGTTTGGACCTGTGTTGTTTTCTTTGGATCATCTTTCTAGACCTAGGCAGGCTTAGCATGCCAGCGCGGTAAACTCATCACCCTTCCTTCTGTCGCTCTTACAGATGGGAAGCGGGCTCGAACAGAAACCCCCGTGAAGTGTCCCCTGGCAGACATCCACATGGACTCTTCTGAGAAACTCCAGTTCTATAGAGAGGAAGCCCCAGACTGCCATGGGCCATTGTTGAAACTTGAAGCTGTCTCAAGCCAGGAGTCAAAGAAGAGCAAGAAGAGAGGTTTTGAGGAGCCAGAAAAGGAGCAGAGTAACTCTTCACAGTCTTCAAAGCAGAAATACGTGTGTCTTGCTGTGGAAGACTGGGACTTGTTAAATTCCTATTGATTGGCAGATAAAAGTTGACCTTCCCCACCCCTCCCCCATCTCTAATGTATGAGGAAAGGGGCTCATGTTTTCCTCTTTGTTTGAATTTACCTATGACATTAGCATAGCAAGCAGATATTTCTACTTTTGTGGTGGGGGAGGGGAATGCTATGGAAGTATGTAATAATTTCTAATGTATATTTTCAATACATAGTAATTTTTTCAAATAAACGTTTTTGCTGTCCTTAAGTTCTGCTTATGAAATATGGACTGGAGCCACAGGAAATCATACTGGTTTGGGATGAAAGGCCATCTGAAATAACAAGACAGCTTAGCTTGATTTGTTGCCACCCCAGTTTGGCCCAGCCAATAAGATATATATGTGTATGGCCACCATCCTGAATGCCTCCTATGTGTCATGCCCTGTCCCCCATGGAAGAAAGGTATTAGCTCCGATTTAGAGTTAAGAAAACTCACCCTCCACTGAAGTGAGTTGTTCAAGGTCAAAGGGCTTATAAGTGACAGAACCAGAATCTATACTCCTTTCTGTCCAACTCTGTAACAGTGCCTCTGAAACAATAGTTACTATTTATTAAAAACCCAGTTATTATGTCTATGAAGTAAAGCACCAGAAATCTCAGCAGTTCTACAAAGTACTATCACCTCTGTGTGACAGATGAGGAACCTGAGGCCAATGGCTTGCCTTGGACCAGTGCTTCCCAAGCTTTATTGTGCATGCGGTCACCTAAATGCAGATTCTGATGCAGTAGGTCCAGAGTGGGATGTGAGGCTCAGCGTTGGTAAAACGTTTCCAGATGATGCCACTGCTTCTAATTTGTGGACTGCACTTTAAGTAGCAAGTCTCTAGACCTTCTCTGTCTATATGGTAGCCCCTAGTCACATGGCCACTGAACACTTGGAATGTAGCCCAAATTGAAATGTGCAGTAAAATACACACCGGATATCAGGCATTGAAGTACAAAAGAATGAATGATATCTGCATGTTTAAGTATTGATTCCATGTTAAAATGGTAATTTGGGGATTACAAATGTTCACCTGTTTTTATTTTTCTAATGTGGCTACTACAAAACGCAACATGGCTTGCATTTGTGATTTGCATTGTATTTCCACTGGTCAGTGCTGCTTTAGATCATATTCCATTCCTAAAAGCTAGCTTAAAGTAAGGCCTGGCAAGTAAAAGGAAGGGAAAGAGAATACCGTAAGGATTTAAGGAAATTGTGCCCAGCCAATTTTGTGACAGGTTTGACATTTGGAAATGCTCTAGAGTTTAGCAGGAATTTTAATAAAGGCAGGTCTTGGATATCTGGTATGTATTTTCTATTTAGAGTTAGGTGAGGTGCTAGCCTGTTGCCCAGGATCATATCAAAAGCTCTGATTTGTGAAAGTTATAAAATGAAAAGCAGTGTAGATTGTTTCCTTTGTAGACGTGAAGTTGGGCTTTAAAGTGCCATTTGGGCAGACAGCAGCACACCTTGCCTAATTCCTAGTGCAAATAAACAGCCTTGCCAAATTTAGCATATGTTGTTACGCAAACTTGAATCTAATTTGATTACCCCCACTCCCATCACCCCCACTGTGGTGTTGCAGTGCTATCCCAGCAAGTGGCATCTGGAATTACTTCTCAAACATTCTACCTGTTCAGATCATTTTGGAAGGCAAATTTTCCTGCAAAGCAATTTCTGATTACTTCTTTTATAAACACAGTTTACTTTTAGAGCTAATGTTTCATTTTCTTTAATTCTTTTCTTTAAAGGATCTCATTTTCTTTGCTGGTGATTCCCTTAAATATTTCTTGTTTGATCAGAACAGTTTATTGTAGTTATTCGGATGGAGTTAATGAAAGTCTAGGCTTTTTTTAAATGAGTGAGATGAAGGTCAAGAATTTATGACTGGCATAAAATAGATGGAAAAAGTGTGTGTGTGTGTGTGTGTGTGTGTGTGTGTGTGTGTGTGTTTAATTTACCTGTGAGGATTAATTACCTGTGAGGAAATTATATTTCTAAATTATAATTTCTTATTAGAATTAACTTGCTGACTTATGGACTTTGGGCAAGTGACTCAATTCTGTTAATTCTTTGAAACTGCCATCTACCTGCATAATGCTTACAAGAATAAATCAATGTTTTGCAGTAAAAAGATAGTCTTTGCTTTCAAAAAGCTGATATTGGGAGGTGGGGGTGAGTTAGACAATAGGGCAATAAATCAACAAGCAAAGTTCACATAGTGAGAAGTACTTTAAAAAAAGTAAAATGGGATATTGGCAGATGGGATCATTTAGATTTTTAAATTAGTGGGTTACAGAAGGCATCTCGGAGGAAATGATGTTTGAGTTGAGAGATAGAGTAATAAGGAGCGAATCATACAAACATCTGGGTAAAGAGAGTCTCAGGGAAGAAAACAACCTGAGTTGGGAAACGATGGCACATTCTAGGGACAGAAAAAAGAAAGTCTTAACACAGGCGGCTGGTACGTAGTGAATAAGTGGCAAAAGATGTGTTTAGGAGACAAGTGGCAGATCCAGGCCTTGTGAGTCATGGAATTTGCATTTTTACTTTGATGGAATAGGTCACTGATTATGCATAAATCACGTGTGATCTGATTTATACATTGAAGAGCGAGCCCTTGCTGCTTGCTGGGCCCAATGTATGGAACATGGATCATAGTGGGGGCAAGAGGGGAGGAGGGAGCCCAATCAGGACCGTTAAAGTGCAGGTGAGAGATGATGGCAGTAGGACTGGAGTGAGAGTAGTGACAATGAGAAGAGGTTGGATTAGGGACTACTTTGGAGGCTGAACTGAAAGGTCATGTTGATACATTTGGTCTCAGGGTGTTAAGGAACAGAAGGAGTCAAATCAAAAACAATTGCTTCCTAGGGTTTCGCCTGAGCAACTGAGTGGATAATAGTGTCATTTACTAAGATGGGAAAATACAGGTAAAGAATGGGGGTGTGGCCGAGACCGGTTTGGCTCAATGGATAGAGCGTCGGCTTGGGGACTGAAGGGTCCCGGGTTCAATTCCGGTTAAGGGCATGTACCTTGGTTGCGGGCATATCCCCAGTGGGGGGTGTGCAAGAGGCAGCTGATCGATGACTCTCTCTCATCAATGTTTCTAATTCTCTATCTCTCTCCCTTTCTCTCTGTACAAAATCAATAAAAAATATATTAAAGTACTACGTATTAAAAATTAAAAAAAAAGAATGGGGGTGTGTGGGGAAATCAAAGTTTCTGTTTTAGACAAATTTTAGATGCTGATAGGCAATTGGTATATGAGTCTGGAGCTCAGGGGAGTGGTCAGAACTGAAGATATAAATGAAGTTGGGGTTCAATAGTATAGAGCTGATATTTCGTGCCCATGACTGCATGAAATCACCTAGGGAGAGTGTAGATAGAAGAGAGAAGGCCTGAGACTGGGCTTGGAGCCTTCCCACACTTAGGATAAAGCAAAAGGGGAGTGGATGTTGAAGATAAAACCAGGAGAGTATAATATAACCCAGAAGTGAAAATGTTTTGACAAGAAGGGAGCAGTGTTAATGTTTCAGAGAAGTTCAAGTTCTGAACAGAATCCTAGGACATCATCATAGCTCTTTGTTTTACAGATGGGGAAGCTGAGGCCCAGAGAGAGGAAGTTGATTCATGTAATGGTTAATTTTATTTGTCCAGTTGGCTAGGTCATGATGCCCATTTATTAGGTCAAACACCATTCTGAGTGTTGCTGTGAAAGTATTTTATAGATGTGATTTACATTTAAACCAGTAGGTTTTGCGTAAAACAAGTTGCTCTTCATTGGGTGAGCCTCATCCAATCAGTTGGACAAAGGCGTAAGAGAAAAGACTGAGTGAGTTAAAAAAAATTTTTTTTTGAGTTGAAAAGGTAGCCAGAGGAGCACCCGATATAGAAAAATCTGTTTTGCCTTAGCTTGTTTAGCTCAGTGGATAGAGCATCGACCTGCGGAATAAAGGATCCCAGGTTGGATTCCGGTCAAGGGCACATGCCCAGGCTGCAGGCTCGATCCCCAGTGGGGAGGATACAGGAGGCAGCTAATCAATGATTCTCTCTCATTATTGATGTTTCTATCTCTCTTTCCCTTTCCCTTTCTCTCTGAAATTAGTAAAAATATATATATTTTTAAAGTCTGTTTCAACATCAGAAAGTTGGTGACATGACACATGTTTATATGCTGAAAGGAACAAACTTGTAGAGAAGGGAGTAAACTGGCCACCAGGTCTCCAGGCTCATCAGTCCTTACCCTTCAAGAAAGCAGCCGTGCCAGGCAACAGTGGCTCACAGGAGCAAGAGGAAGCCGAGGCTCAGGGGAGTGAAGGCAGCCCTGGGCAGCTCTGCAGGGAGGCTGGTTAAGGAGGCTGAACAACCTGATCCCAGGAGGAACAGTCAGTGATCTGGGGTGTGTGCAGCTTGAGAGGCCTCAGCGGGAGACAGTTAACTGTTTTCAGAGGAAGGGCTTTCCTGGGGGCAGAGGGAACAGATGTGTTTTCTGGATTCAGAACTAGTTAAAGACAGTTTTGGTTCCGTAGCAGAAGGAAATTTCTAAACTCACAGCTGTGGGAGAGGTAGTAAGTTCCTTGTCTTCAGAAGTGTGCACACAGAAGCTGGGTGATTGATGAGGTTGCTATATAAACAATCCAAACTTCGGGTGGGGAATTAGATGCGCTTTTATAATCCCATCCAGACTTGGGAATCGCTAAGGTTATCAGGCTTCCCTGGTAATCTCAGAGTGTTTCGTGAAATGGTCAAAAAGACTATTTTGATGCATTTTATTAAAAATATAATTATACCAGCCCAGCCACGGTGGCTCAGTGGTTGAGTGGCGACCTGTGAACTGAGAGATCACTGTTGGATTCCCGGTCAGGGCACATGCGTAGGTCGCCGGGGGCTCGATCCTCAGCGTGGGGTGGGCAGGAGGCAGTGATCCATGATGCTCTCTCATTAATGTTTCTATCTCTCCCTTTCCCTTCTCTAAAGTCAATAAAAATATTAAAAAT